AAGTGTGTGTGTGTGTGTGTGTGTGTGTGTAGCTGGCTGGCTGGCTGGCTGGCTGGCTGTGGCGTGGGCAGCTGCCGCCGGTGTGCAGGCGGCCTCGGCACGCCGTGCTGCGCTGCCCACCTCCCAATGACACACACACAACCACACACATACTCACTGAGACACCCCCCCCACCCCTCTACCCCTCCCACCCCCCCCACCCCCAGGCCTCACCCCCACCGAGTTCTTCTTCCACACCATGGCGGGGCGGGAGGGGCTGGTGGACACGGCGGTGAAGACGGCGGAAACAGGCTACATGTCTCGCCGCCTCATGAAGGTGTGTGTGTGTGTGAGAGAGAGAGAGAGAGAGAGAGAGCGAGAGAGGGGGGGGATGGCAGGCGCATCTGCAGAGCACTGGGCCCCCCTCCCACCGCCCCGCCTCCGCTCCTCTCATCCACCCATCTCTCGGTCGCTGGCCCCACCCCCCACCACCTCACCCCCCCCGCCACCCGGCCGCAGGCGCTGGAGGACCTGTACACCCACTACGACGGTACCGTGCGCAACGCGGCGGGAGGCATCGTGCAGGTGAGGCTGGGGGCCTGAAGGCGGTGCAGGGGCACACGTGGGCCTTTGTGCCGGCTGCCTGCGCACCCGCCTGGCTGCCCGGCTTTCCGGCTGGCTGGCTGCTCCCCTGGCCGCTCCATTCCCCTGCCTGCCATCCTTCGCGCGCTGACCACCTGCGTGTGTTGCCGTGCCGCCGTGGTACCGCCGCTGCTGTACCACCTGTCCTGCAGCTGCGGTACGGCGAGGACGGCATGGACCCGGTGGCCATGGAGGGCAGGAACGGGGAGCCAGTCATGTTCAGCAGGGTGCTGTCGGTGAGCGGTCCTGCCCCTCCGCCCACACCCCGCTCCCCTCGCCTGGCTCCCCGCTCCTGCCCCGCCGCCCCGCCCTGCGTGCCAGTGCCAGCTGGTGGTGCCGTGGGGCGGCTAGGAAGGGCTGGGAGCTGAGGTGCCCTCCTGCTGTGCCCGCTGCGCCTGCCCCTGCCGCTGCTCGCAGGTGGTGAAGGCCAGCCAGCCCAGCCTGCCTCCAGCGGGGGCAGGTGCTGCGCTGGCGCTGCCGCCTGCGGGGCCAGACATCAAGCAAGAAGAAGAGGCGGGCGCGGCGCCGGCGGCGGCGCGGCGCGCGCGGCAGCGCGGCGCGGCAGCGGCT